AAAAAAAAAAAAAAAAACAAGTTTTTCAGGGAGAATAGAAATTAACTAACGAGTTATTGTTTGCACTCGAACCTCATCAAAATATCCCTAAGGGCAGGTAGAATATTCTCTTCTGACCCTATTATCATTGTAATTGCAATATATTTAATTAGGTATGGTTTCCGCACTGTCGTCCAAATAGTAATTAAGATAAAAACTAGAGTTCGTGTGTTGTAGCTCGATAAAACATTAAAAAAAATAAAATCTGATACCGGGAACAGTTGTAACACTGTTGTAAAAGGGATGTCGGAAAGGTATAACATAGAAAGTTGTTTAATTTATATTTGTAACTATCGACCATTACTGACAAAAAACGATTCGGAGGAATGTTCATTTATACGTGTTTTGAAAGGCTGTAAAATTATTTACGATTTTCACCAGAATTTGATATAAAAACTTATTTATAAATAATAAAAAAGACTGTATTAAATTTGATTTATTTTTACTACACTAATAACAATTTATATTGAATCATGTGTTAAATTTTCAAACATTTCTATTTGGCCAAACAATTGTATTTACTAAATATTTACCGAATAAAAATAATTTAAAAAACTAGCAAAATTACATGTCCATAAATAGCTCAAAAATTGTTTAAATGAAATATACTATATCTAGAAAAACAAATAAGAATTTTGAAAAAGTTTTAAGTTTCTGTGAAATTTTCAATTGAAATATAACAAAAAAAAAAAAAACGTTATTAGTTACCAAAGCACTAGGTTTATATATTTTTTTTCGGTTTTGTTTAATTATTAAGAAAACTACGAGGAAATTGAAAAAAAAAAAAAGAGTTACTTAATCACGAAATAAATTAAAAATGAAACAAATAAAAGATCTGTAATCGATATTTTATTGAATCAATATTGCCGATAGAAAACCACACAAATTTAAATTAATGGAATAATCATAGTGCGGTAAATTTTACAATTTTCATTTTTCCTAAGTTTTATGAAACTATTAGGAAAATCGAAAAAAAGATTATATTCTTATTCAGATATATTGAAGCAATATTACTGGTAGAAAAGTTGCTCACTGACACACCAAATAACGAGGTTTTAAAAATTCTAAAAAGGCTATTTAGAGTAAAAAAGCCGAAGAATTTTTTTTTTCAAAAATCGTCTTAAATCAAAAAAAAAAAAAAAAAA